ACACCATCAAAAGACAAGCCTGGGAGTTTAAATTCATAACTTTGCTAGACCCTAAAAATCACAGACTGAATAGGGATATTGGATTTATGGCAGATAACAAACTTACCTCCCTCCCTGATTTTTTTTCTCTATGGTTGGAGAAATGGTCCCCTGACATATGCATTAACTACCTGTGCTAAACAGTGTTTCACCTTGTATTTAGCTGTGATACTGTGAGTACATTTGCCAGACCACAGAAAAGCTCTGTTTGAGCTTGAAAGCTTCGTTCTCTCATTAAGGTACTTCTACACTGCACCCAGAGCTCAAAATAAACTATGCAATTTGAGCTACGCAAATTGCATAGCTTATTTTGAGTTAATTTCAAAATAGCTTTTTTCAAAATTTGGCACTGTCTACACAGCACTTATTTAGAAATAAATCGCTATTCCAAAATGTCCCTTACTCCTCGTGGAATAAGGTTTACAGAGACGTCAGAATAGCGAGCCCGTTATATTTCAAAATAATGGGCATGCTCAAAAGACATGGAGTAGCTATTTTGGGATACCTCCAGTATCCTAAAACAGCGCAGCAGTGTAGACGTAGCGTAACAGAATTTGTAGAGGGATAGCCATGTTAGTCTGTAACTTTAAAAAATGAACAGTCCCGTGGCACCTTAGGGTACGTCTAGACTACATGCCTCTGTCGCCAGAGGCATGTAGATTAGGCTACCCGACATAGTAAAATGAAGCGGCGATTTAAATAATCGCCGCTTCATTTAAATTTACATGGCTGCTGCGCTGAGCCGACAAACAGCTGATCAGACAAACATTTTACTATGTCAGGTAGCCTAATCTACATGCCTCTGGCGACAGAGGCATGTAGTCTAGACGTACCCTAAGAAACTAATAAATATATCATGAGCTTCAGAGGGGTAGCCGAGTTAGTCTGTAACGAGAAAAACTTAAGACTATTCATTGTTTTTAGTAGCACTTTAAAGACTAACAAAACATGTAGATGGTATCATAAGCTTTCATGGGCACAATCCACTTCTTCAGATGACTGGAGTATGACTGGATCTGGACTTTTAATACTCCAATCATCTGAAGAAATGGGTTATGCCACTTTGTTAATATTTAAGGTGCTACTAGACTACATGTTGTTTTTTACATATATCATGAGCTTTCATGGGTAAAACCACTTCATCAGGTACTACCTCACCAACCTTGTCCCTCTAATATCTTGGGACTGACACATCTTCAACATCACTGCATGGAAAGAACTGCAACACACAAAATGTGAAGCTGAGGAAATTACAAGCTAAACAAATAATGTTTAAGTATATTCTGTGTTAACAAAAATGTGCAATATTATACAAGGAACATCACTGACCATTTCATCAAGTCACGTCTAAGTCTAAGTGTTAATTGAAATAGTAAATGGATATTCAAAATGTACAGTCCTAGTTTCGCACAGCTCAAGAGAACAATGAACCATTCGATATTATCCCGGCAGTACTGCTTCCACACAGCCGGGTTCATTGTTTCATAATTCCAATTACAATACAGTTCAGTAGAGTCTTTCACAGATAATAGAATGTTTGACGTCTGCTTACACTCTACACTTGATGAACCAGTTCATTGTTATGGAATAAGCACATTGTTTTCTTGGGGGAAAAAACCCCTAAGTTTTGCAGAACTGGGGAAAAAATATACAAATACACACCCAGATTCTTTTGAATTATTTTATTGTGTATATATGCACTAGTTAAATATTTTCTAAAAATACAGTAGCTAAGAATTTCTTTATATCAGGTAACTAAAAATAAATGGATTTATCCCAGAGGAATAAAACAAACATAAAAAACATTCCATGTTACCAGATGATTCAATAAGTAAATAATAATTATGAGCATAGGATATAGTCATACATATGTTAAAAATACACAGCGCAATAACCGCCAAGGAAATAAGTACAGACAAGGTTAAAAATGAAGGCTTTCAAACTGGAAGGCAAATATGAAGATAAATAAGGAAAAACACCACAATGTTAGGTACATTATCAACACCTAGGATTACCAGAAAAAAGGTTCCTTAACATGAGTAATGAAATTCTTGTACTCTAGTAGCAAGCAGACTTTTGAGAGATCAAGATAATCTGCCATACAGGTATGTATTTCAAGGCAAGAAGGAGTCTGTCTCTTCACCAAAACTTGAGGTAAAAAACAATGCAGCTCAAGTACAAAAGATGTGTCAGTTGCACATCGAATATCGGCCTGAGAATTCTGGAATGTAGTTAATATTCTGTTGTATTTCTAACTTTATGAGGCTACCAAATCACCAGGTTTTTAATCAGGGTGATATTTAACTCACAATAATATTCCTTGTGCTGAGTTTGCCCTGTTACTGCACACAAGTTTGACCATAAGAGTGAACAATTACTATCCTCCCCTATCTCAACACCAGCAACTCCTAGGTTCTCTTTATCCTGCAGTAAAATAGTGCCATAGAAGTCCCCTCTTCCTCCAGTACAAGAGCATAAGGTGCACGTTTGAAAAAAAAATGAGGCAGAAACCTTTTAGTTACAGCTGTATTAAATAACTAAAATGTTTGTCATAAATTCACACCCTTTTATACTCTGCCATCTAAAGTAAGTTAAGCCTTAAGAGAACTACTGGGGCACCTGTCAGACTTAATGCAGCCTTGCAAAGTCATCATGAAATGTAACTACACACTATTAGCTACCATATCAAATCATTTGCTTCTTACCTAGATGCTGGAGGAATGAGGGAAAAGGCTGATATCCTACTTGCTACTTCTAAAAGAACAACTCTCCTTGGGTGCATAAATTTTTTTCAAGGCTGATACATTCACCATACATGTAAAAAAAATAAAAGTCAAGCTTCTGCTAATTGCATGAACATGTGACAATTCACCCTGTAATTTAAATATATATTCTTTCTTTGCCACAGACACACAAAACCATGTGAACATGTAAACAGAGGCAGATGCAAGTACTGAAACTGTAACAGAAAAATCCCTGTAAAAACTTGTCTATTGTGCTAAGAAAATATAACAAGAATCTTCAATACTGAAATCTGTTTCCAGATATTGCATCCTCAACAGAACACGGAATATGTAACTGAAATGTACATCATGAATACAGCTTATCATCTGCATAACTGGCATGAGTGCATGTGTTTATGATGGCCCCCAAACATATTTTACATCTATGTATATCAATGAAAGCTGCATCAACTCATGAAACAATTTTTGTAATCTGAAGAGAGCAAGAATTTGCAATTAACTCATTGAAGACCTAAAATGTCCTTATGTCCTTGATAAGAAATTATTTAAAACCTGAAAAATCCATTCCATTGTGGCTTAAAAAAAGAATGTAAACCAGTAGCTAGCTAGAAAAGTAATTTACACAGATGCTTGTAGGGGTCCTACTTCTTTTAAAGAAACATTCACTCAGTTATTCTACCACAAGTAGCCTTTTTACAATCACTTTTCTCTACTATATCCGTGTAAATATTTAAGGTACATTTAAGCTATATTTATTTGTAGAATCCTAGCTTTTAAATGTAAAAGCAGCATGATTAAGATTACCGAATACCATAGTTAGCCATTTCTAACAGTTTAAATATCACTCCCTTAATGGGAAAGTGGCAGTGATAGGGAAAGTATAAAAGATACCTTTTCAATGACTGAGTCAGTTACTGCCACCTTCAAGTGTGGTTCCATGCTGAAAAGTAGTTGTAAGAATGGTGTTGCTAAGCTTCATGTTCACTATCAATGAATCCACGTTAGGGAGGTAAAGGACTAGTCGACTATCCAATAAGGAAATGCTTATCGGATAGCCTGTCAACTAGTCGTTTCCCCCCACCTTGCTGCCTTTATCAGATTGCACGTGACATTTCAAAGCGGCAGCCCCGCACGGAGCCCGGGGCCAGCGGAGGAGTCCCCAGCTGATCCTGGGTTCCCCGCAGCACTGCCACTTTGAAATGCCGCATGCAGCCTGGGAACACCCTCGCTGGCCCCAGGCTGCACATGGCATTTCAAAGCGGCAGGCATTTCAGAGCTTTTGCCTTTGAAGTGTAGCAACAGCACTAATTCATTAGTCGACGCATTTTGCATCAACTATTCAATTAGTGAATTACTTGCAGTTTAACATCCCTAATCCAGGTCAAGTATGCTCAGTTTAAAGAACAAAATGATGCATTTCCTAGCCTGTTTGCAATTTTGTTGTAGCCGTGTTGGTCCTAGCATGAGACACAAATTATGCAGGTGAGTTAATATATTTTATTGGACCATTTTCTATTAGTGAAAGAGAGAAGCTTTCACTCTACTCTGAGCACCTTTCCCACATGTAAGGTATGTCTACACTTCATACTTATTTCGAAATAAGCTATTCCAGAAGAAATACTCCAAAATAGCTTATTTCAAAATAGCATGTCTACACTATGGGGAAACCTCAAAATCAGTCCGAGGCAGGCTTCCCTAATGAGGATGTGCTACCTCGATTTAGAGCCCAGGAAGTACTGGGGGGAGTAATTAGTTTGAATGGCCCTGGGGAAGAGCTATTTCAAAATAGCAGCAGTGTAGAGTCCACACTACTGCTATTCTGAAATAGCTATTTCGGAATAGGAGTTACTCCTCATGGATGAGGTTTAGAGAAGTTGGAATAAGCTGTCTGTTATTTCGAATTTATTTTGAAATAACTGAATTGTTGTGTAGATACTCGCATTGCTATTTCAGAGTAACAGCCATTATTCCAAAACAATGCTGCTGTGTAGACGCAACCTTAATAAGCAGCTCTGTGTAGCTTGGAAGTGTGTTTCTCTCACTAACAGAAGTTTGTCTAATAAAAGATTCTCTCATCTACCGTGTCTCACTTTCTGGAGTTCAGCAAACTTCACCTGAGCTCCAAGGGTCACCCTGGGATCTTTCATCTCATGCACTGACACCAGTGGTTCTACAGACCGAATTATGGCATCAGCTACTCCTTTCAGCCCCTTGTTATTTAGATGATGCCCGGCCCACCACTCTTTGCAGTTATAAGTGACTGAAAGTTAAGAAGCCGTTCTGTTGCTGCTGCACAAGAAGGAATGGAATCCAACTCAATCCCAACTAGCTGTGGGGGCTCTGAGGCCTGGTCTACACTGGACCAGGAAGGTCGGCTTAAGGCACACACCTCCAGCCACATAAAATACAAAGCTGGAGTTGGCTTATCAAACCGAGCCTTGGCGGTGTCCACTCAGCGGGAGGCCAATGGGAGCAAACGTTCCCGTTGGCTTCTCTTACTCCTCATGACTGCGAGGAATACAGAATGCCCTCAGCATTCAATTTACGGGTCTATACTAGATCAACTAAATCAACCTTCAGAAGATTGATCTCCAGAGCATCAATTCGCCAGTGAGTACAGACGTGCCCTGAATGGGTAACCGATATGAAAACCTATTTGTAACGTGTAAGTGGGCAGATATGATCTGACTACACAAAGGTGAGCAGATCTAGTGAGCGCCAAGAGCCATTTACCTACACGTTCATTTCAGAACAGTACCACACTTTAAGGCAGAATAGGAAATCTCATTCTCCAGGCAAAAAGGCAATCAGCTAGAGAAGGGTTAGTAAAGGAAGCAGAGACAACAATATAAGGCACTTACATGAGCTAGGCAAAAGTCCATACTCAAAATAAACAGAACCCCTCCCCCCACAAAATGTTTTCCACTCAAATATGCAAACTAGAAATAAGCTCAACATTTTGAACTGAAGGGCTAATGTACCGATCTCACGCACACTCAGGGACCTCTCTTATTGGAGCCTTTCACATTTGCTAGCTAAAGTCAAGATTTCTTACTTGTTCTCCAAAACGACATAAACATATCTACTCCAAACACTTCTGAGGTCCAGACTTCATCGGTAAAGAGGAGTTACTTAGCCACTGGTACATAAATGTCACCCACATGATGGCAGTGTTCCCTGTAAGCTGGGAGCTTTGGCGGCCACTCAGGAGAGATTAAAATGCCGCCCAGCTAATTAGCAGAGTGCTCACAGGTAGGTTTTTGTTTCTACTGGTGATGCATATGCACATGCCTCGGTGCACATAAATTTATTCTGCACATGGATGGAAAAGATTAGAGCAAACATTGCATGATGCACATGGTTAAGTAAATTAAAGGCTACAAAGTCAGTGAAAACTATGGCTATCAGAGGGAGCTAACAAGAGGCCATACTTTAGAATACGCACCAAAGTACTCAAAAAACTGTTTCCAATCTTTACAAAGTGTATCCATTCCCTCCCCCCGCCAGGAAAGGTCTTTTCAGCTCCTCCCCCCAAATAACTTTACAGTGGACATGATCTGTTATCTATGAGAGACTTCTTTTTGTGACCCCTACCTTCTAGTGTTGCTCTGATGAGGTTATTAGCCTGAAAAGAAGTCTTAAAGCAAAAGCATCTAACAAGATACAAACTAATCATGACATGGGATGGGGTGGTGAAACCTCATTTCCTTATTTTGCTTTAAATTCTCAATGTGAATCCTGAGACATGCTATGAGTTACTGCTACTTGCTTTAGAAGTTTAGTAAAAACAAGTATGTGCTTCTACAACAAAGCTGACTCAATGAAGGTTAAATGCCAAACAGTAAACCCCAAATCCCTTTAAATCACTATGAAATTCTATAGTGTATACACACACTGCATACAGAATTTTGAAAAGTAAAGTGTCAGTAACTTTTAGATATTGTAAAATGTACAGTACTATGGGCTATGCTGGTGGGCATGTTCTCTAGGTCTTGTTTCAATGTTCAGTAGGTGGTGGTTTTGGAAGGATGAACGGACAGTCCGATTCATCAGTGGCTGAAGCGGGCGGAAGTTGTCCACCATCCTCTTTTCTTCCTCCCCATCTGAAGTGAAGAGCAGCATCCGAAACTCCTCAAGCTGGGAATAATAAACGATGACTATGAGTGACTTAGCTGTCAGAGAGCTAGCAGCATAAAAGAAACATGAGCTCATTCACATATGGAAAGTATCAGAGCTCCTTCTAAACTCAAGTACTGAGAGATTTTGGCACCACTTGCAGTAGATCTTCACTGCTTGCTGATAAAGATCGTGTTCTCAACTATATCACCATAATAATTGAACTGCCAATCATCTACATCTTATTCACCTTCAATTTCTTGACAATCCCAAGACAGTGCCGAATCGTGAGTGTTCGTGAGTTGTGTATGTACCACCATTATATAAATCTTTCTGGATTATAGCGTTCTTACATTACATTCTAACGGCAACGTCTATGCTCCTATTTCAGACACACACTTGTTGATGCATGGGAAATAGTAGGTTTTGACAACAGTCCCGTGTGTTGCTGTTGGCTTTCAAAAACCAGACGCCCAGCAGATGACGTTTTTAGCAGAGTTTCAAAAGGGAATGTTGGCTATCATAAGGGATGGAATTTTTAGGGAGGGAAAGGGAAGAGTCTGAACTGAAGAAGGGAATACGCTACCACCTCAAATTAAAGTTTCTCTTCTTTGTTCTATTCTACCTTTCAGTTCACTAACTCTTCTTTCATCCCCTTTTGTGTAAAACAAAGCCATATGCCCATATATACTCTGATGTTTGACAATTTGTAATTTCTTGACTTTACTGTTGGACATTAACTTCCCAGAGTTTTTATAGGAAAATGACAATCTTGCCGTGCATCTAGGGTTGTTAGCTATCGGGTAATTGAAAAATCGTGTAACTGCAGGAAATCTTAGTGGTTACACGACTATTCAATAATCGCTGGGGGTGGAGCTGAGGCCGGCAGCCAGTGCGCCCCACTCCTGGGGAGGCCCCTGCCACCCCACACTGCTACCTCTCTATCAGAGGCAATAAAATAGGGTGGCAGGTGGAACTGGTCCACGAGGGGAGCCAGTTTAAACCAGTACCTGTCACGGCCCCATGCTGCTGCCTCTGTGATGGGTGGCAGCAGCCCGTCCGTTTGGGACATCCCTGGGATGTGGAGCAGCCTCTGTCCACCGGGAGCTCAGACTCTCCCGCTGACAGGGGCTGCTTTGCAGCAGCCTCCCCTGCTTCTCCTCCCTGCTGCACTGCTGCCACCGAGCTGGCTCCCCCCAGCACTGCTTCTGCCTGCCTCTCCTGCCGCTGTAGGAGGCAACAAGAGGGGGGGCAGGCTGGTCTGTGGAGCCAGCACATGCCGGGAGCTGGCTTAAAAGCTGGCTCTCCGCATGTATTGGCTCCAGGCTGCTCCCCTCACCCTTCACACTGCTACCTCTCTATCAGAGGCAGTAGCATAGAGGGGGTGGGGGTGGGGGAGGAGTCAGGCGGTTTCAGTGCTCATGGGGAGCCTGCTTAAAGCCAGCACCTCATAGGCACCAGCTCCCACTTCCCTCCACTTGCTGCCTCTGATAGAGGCAGCAAGGGTGGAGGGACTGCATATAGTCAACAAGATAACCAATAAGCCTAGGCTTATCAGTTAATTGTATAGTCGACATGTTGACATCCCTGTATGTGTCACTGGAAAAGCCTCAATAACCTGTTGAAAAAGAATGAATTTGCTTTCAGTGCTTCCTAAACTATGAGGAATAGATCACGCGTCATTTAAATGACAAATTTTCCCAAGATCTGAAACAATCTCTTTAATGCCATAATAATTTAGCCATTCTTAATGCGTGTGTTTTGGTGGAGAATTCTGAAGAGTACCGGTGAAAACTGTAACTGTAGCATCTTGCTGCTCCTAATCTCTGTGCCTCTTCTGTCCTGTTGGAACGTCTCCTCCTCTATTTCATGCCAACGAGCAGTATTAAGCTCGCAACATGAGGCACTAAAATTAACAGCAGCAGGGAATACTCAGTGACAAAAGCTGGCTGAATGTTAGAACGTAAAGTAGAATTACCAACCCAAAACTACCAAGTTCCTGGTTGAGGTGGCTTCTAAATAGTTCACTTATGGGCACCCCTCCTTCCTCCTCACTAGGGATGTAACAGTATAGTTGATTAACCGATAAGCAAAAGTGTATAGGTTAATGCTATAGACTGCATGCATTCCCCCGCGCCAACAAATTTTTTAGCAGGCTGGCCAGCAGCCAGCTCTGTGCTGGCTTGTGTCAGATCCGAGAGCCTCTGATACAGAGGCAGCAACATGGGGTGCCAAGTGGGAGCTGGTCTGCAGGGGGAGCCAGTTTAAAAACCTGGTCCCCTCACAGACTGGCTGCCTGTTTCCCCACACTGTTGCCTCTGATACAGAGACAGCAGAGCAGGGTGGAAGCACCCCATGTCCAGGGTGGGGTCTGAGCTCCCCGACCCGGCGTGAGCCGGAACTGAGCCGGCCTGCTGGCTCCTAATATACGTTAAATGCAGAGTCACAGCAGAGGTACTGTATTTTCTGGCGTATAAGACTACTTTTTATACTAAAAAACATCCCCCAAAAATCGGGGGTCGTCTTATACGCCGGGTATAAACATACTGTAGCTTCGGCTACATACAGTATCAGCACAGGGACGTTCTGTATGTAGCCAAAGCTACAGTATGTTTATACCCGGCGTATAAGACGACCCCCGATTTTTGGGGGATGTTTTTTAGTATAAAAAGTAGTCTTATACGCCAGAAAATACAGTACCTCTGCTGTGACTCTGCATTTAACGTATATTAGGAGCCAGCAGGCCGGCTCAGTTCCGGCTCACGCCGGGTCGGGGAGCTCAGACCCCACCCTGGACATGGGGTGCTTCCACCCTGCTCTGCTGTCTCTGTATCAGAGGCAACAGTGTGGGGAAACAGGCAGCCAGTCTGTGAGGGGACCAGGTTTTTAAACTGGCTCCCCCTGCAGACCAGCTCCCCCTTGGCACCCCATCTTGCTGCCTCTGTATCAGAGGCAGCAGCACAGAGTGGTAGGGGCTCCTCAGGAGCGGGGCCAGAGTGAAATGGCTGCCTGCTCCACCCCCAGGGACAATAGAATAGTCGAGTAACCGATAAGAATTCCGGAGGTTAATCAACTATTCAATTAACCGATATTTAACAACCCTACCCCTCACCCTCTTTTAAATACAGAAAAGCTGACAGCAACTCTAACCGACTATAAATACATCTATTCCCCAAAAGGGCATTTGAAAAAGCTGCTAAGCTTTGAACTCTCTACACTTTCAGCAGTCAGAAGGAATTAAAAAGCAGTTGGAGATTCTCCCTTCTTAAAAAATATCCTTGGAACTTTGCACAAGGGGAAGGGAAGCAAGGATGTGCCTCCCTAGTACTTTCTGGAAGCTTATACCACAAGTGCCCGGACTCCGGAAGCGTGAACATGTATCGGCAACATCCTCTGCCACGGGAAGGCGCTGTGGTCAAGAACTTAGCAAGACTCCAAAAAAGAAATGGACATTTCTCCGGCCACCCAAGAATATCTGTTATAGTCTGGGCTCCGCGTTTCAGAGATTGTGGATTCCGTGACTTCCTGTGACCTCCGTGATTTCTGCAGTGGCCAGTGTGGCTGACCCTAGGGCCACATGCTCAGGCACACCTGGGGACCGCCACATTTGCCGCTGTTGGTGCAGCTCTACAGCCAGCTGCTCAGGTGGAACATGGCCCCACAGCCATCCACACTAGCTGCTGTGGGAGTGGCCCTGATGCAGCTGGCCATGGGGAACTCCTACAGTGGTCCCGGGTGAGGTAGGAGCAGCTAGTCCCCTGGGGCTCCTCCTCGCCCCACTACCCCCCCAGGGTTCTCCCCACAGTGGCAACACCTTTCCCCACCCCCCTAGATTCAATAAGGGGCTGTTTATGACATAAGTCATGGACAGCTGTGATTTTTTTGTTATTGCCTGTGACTTGTCTATGACATTTACTAAAAATATCATGATTAAATTGTAACTTTGGTTATAGTTAATGCTACCAAATTTGTTTTAAGGGGCTATAAAATGAAAAGCCATCCTCTTACTATTAGAGCTCGGGATGAGACTTATTTGGGGACAGAATATCCCACATCTGCTACTGTAGGGTTCTGACACCTACCTCTGAAGCATCCAATGCTGATACCTGTCTGACACAGGTAACTAAATAGACCTTGGGCCAGCAGGCAATCTCTATGTCCTCTGCCTTACTGGTAAGTAACTTCTCTTTTTGCAGTGTTCATTTCCTCTTTATCGTAGCAGGCAATAAATGATCTTCATTAAAAAGAAAATTGATATGATCGATACCTGAGTTTCATCAACTTCTATTGGGGCCTTCTTAATAATCCAGGTGACAGATTCTGTAAGCGGAGGAGTGGTCAATGATCCATCATAGGTCCAATAATCCGGGCATGATGGAAGCAAACAGGAGGGATCAAAGACGTCAAACTCAACAATCGTGTCCTAGAATCCAAGAAAATCTATTTATTAAATATTTTAACCTCTGAAAAAAAAAAAAATCTAGAGGATATATTTAAAAATATAAAGAGTGATCAGATTAAGAACAATATAACTGTTATCATCTACTAAATACTGTCAATATTATTACTGAGCAACTGTAAAACAATTAAAATTCACAACCTTTGAAAAAGGTTAGGTTTAGGGTTAAGGCTGCTTTGCAGACTAGCGGTATCCAGTAAATAAGAGGCTTCAGATTTGGTCTATTACCCCACAAGCCAAACTGGAGCAGGAAGAGGCTCCAGTTTATGTGGTGATGTAACTGATGGTGATTGTGTGGGACTGAGAAAATTCAATTCTGGATTGCCAGAGAAAGAATACAAAGAGGGAACAGGAAGGGCGGTGGAACAGGTTGAGGCATGTGCTGTCGCTAGTTGAATTATTTAAGATTCTCTGTTGATTGTTAGACAAGATAATGGCTACTGTTGTTTTGAAACAAAGTGTTTTATTTGAACTCTATCAAGATTTGGCCTCTCAAAAGCTCACATTCCCAGGCAGCATGTCAGAGAGCTTTATGTCCCACAATCCCACAGGCCCCCTACCAGCGGCGAAACCTAACATTTCTTACAGGTACTGTCCTATCGCAACCTGGGTCCCTGCCAGTTCTTTAAATAGCTCCCTGCTGGCTTTTGCTGCAGCTCAGCAAGTTCTTGCAGAAGCTGCACACCAGGGAGCACCCACTTCCTTTCACCTCTGCCCCTACACAAACATTGTAAGTGGAGGTATTTTTCAGTGTATATTTTCTTTTAAAATACAGTTTTATTTTTGCTTTTTAGGGGTTTTATCCACTTTTAGTCAATGGAGGAAACATTAAAGCTAAAATATTTCAAACACATGAACCTATCTAGGAATTGCCAGGTAGGCTCAGACCCTGTCAGCAGTCAGTACTGGATACTTCAGAGGAAGGGCTAAGAACCTCATAGGAGGCAGGAATGGGATAATCTGCTCCTCCAGCTCCCAAGAAGTGGGGCCCCACCAAAGTTAAGCACCTAAGACCACTTTCAGAAACCCTGAGTGTGCTTTTACTTCCATCAGAAGTGCAGAATTCTCAGCCTTTTAGGAATCAGGCCACTTACTTGGATACTTAAAAACAAATGTCTATTTTTTAAAGACGTTGTCCCGAGACTATTTCAGTGGTGAACCGCAGCCACTGGGAGCTGCAGGTGACCATGCCTTCGGACGCTCAATGTAAACAATCTGTCTCCCGGCCAGCTTATCCTGACTTGTCCCGTGTGATCCACAGGCTACCCACCACCGGCCTACACACTTTGAGCTATCCATTCACATTTAGCCATAGTCAAAGGGAAATTGTTTGCTTGCACCCAGTTTACCAAGTGATCCAGCACATTGTGAGTAAGAGACTCGTCCTCTTTATTAATTATTCCCTAGTTTTGGTAGCATCTGCAAACTTTCTGAGTGATAGTTTTAAGTTTTTCTCCAGGTCACAGATAAAACGCCATAGACTCAAAAACTAATCCTATTGGAAATACATCCAATAAATAAAATCACCCTTAACATCTGCTTCCTGACTGTGAAGATAGGGGCTGCAGAGACTTCTCATATAACAAATCCTTACTGTAGATTTTGATTAACAGATGTCCACAGTATAAAAATAGCAAACAGCAGAAAATCCATAACACAAATAATTACCACTTACCACCTCTCTTTACAGCACAGAGAGATTCTCTGAAAAAACCTAGTTTTTAGATACCGCATTAAAAACATTTAGTACTTTGGCTTTGTATCAGAAGCCCTAAACATGTGTCATGCCACTCTGGAGGTATACAGTCTACATGTTGAAGCATGTTATATGTTTCTCGACTCAAACAGATTGAAAAGCAATCACAAAGTACATCCGAAAGGATCGTGATTTTCTATATTTGAATCCGACAACTTTTCCTATCATTTCAGAATGCCCTATGTCAGTCCAGTCCTCATCCCACACACATCAATGACAGTAATAGTTTATTAGTAGGGGTGTAATAGGGCATCCCATTAAACACTACCAGATACATGCAAACTCCCTGCCCTGCCCCACTGCAAGTCAATTTTTTAGTGGTTTGGCCAGCAGGTTGACTCAGTCCCAGCTTGCACTGGGTCCAGCAGCCACCACTGCTGCGGCTCTCCATGCACAGGGGCTTGGGAGCTGCCAGGTAGGCAGGCAGGCTGGCTGGCCTAATCCCGGCTCGCACCAGATCCAGGCAGCTAACCCTAATCTCACAAGCTGGGACTGAGCAGCTTGCTTGCCTGACAGTTCCCAAGCTCCTGTGAATACACAGCCACAGCAGGGAGTTGCTGCCTATGCGCCAGCTCCCAAGCTCCTTTCAATGCAGAGCTGCTGCAGTTAATTGTGTAACCAATACAATATGTGTTAGCAAATTACACACTTCTTAACATCCCTATTTATTAGTGCCTTGATACTATCAAAATATTCTCTATATTGATAAATGCACTACCAATCAGGAAAATGACATGCAGTAGACTATTTAAACAATAAATTATATTTTACCTTATGTCTAACTGCCGGTAACGCATCTACTAATTTCTGTAGTCCTGCATGATGTGCTCCAAGCTGCATTACACAGATATAAATATGTAAGTTATCAAGAACACATTACATAAATATCCACCACAAAAAGTGTAATAAGCAAAGTTTATATATTTTATCTATTTTGATTTTTAAAAATATATTACTTTACCTTCAAAAATACTCCTATGACAACCAAACCATTATTCTCCATGATAGCTTCTTCAAAGCTTGTGGAGTTGACAGGATTCCAGTGTACTAAATGCAGCTGAAATACAAATAAATAATAATTTCACACACATACACAAGACAAACAAACAGAATAAAAATGCTGTTTCTCTTTGTCCTACATTTGGCCTTTGGCAATTTGAGATGTACAGCAGCTACCTTAAAAAAATCAGAAACCATGCAACGGGAAACAATGAAAAATATCTGAAACTAATATTTCATTCTTTAGAATAGTGATAGAAATGTAGCAGTGTTAGTCTGGTGTAGCTGAAACAAAATACTGGACTATGTAGCACTTTAAAGACTAACAAGATGGTTTATTAGATGATGAGCTTTCCTGGGCCAGACCCACTTCCTCAGATCAGTGGGTCTGGCCCACGAAAGCTCATCAGCTAATAAACCATCTTGTTAGTCTTTAACGTGCTACATAGTCCAGTATTTTGTTTCATTTATTTCTTTAGTTGCTTAAAAAAACCAGACCTATCCTCAGCCCCCTACTTTGCATTTCACAGAGGGCAGACTGATTTGGCACGTGGGTGACAGAATCCAAGTGTAAACTTAAAAAACAACAACAAATGGTCTAGTAGCACTTTATAGATTAACAAAACATATAGATGGTATCATGAGCTTTCATGGGCACGGACCACTTTTTGTGCCCATGAAAGCTCATGATACCATCTATATGTTTTGTTAGTCTATAAAGTGCTACCAGACCATTTGTTTTTTTTTTTAAGTTTATCCTGTACAGACTAACTCAGCTACCCCGAGATTACAAATGTGTTCAAAAGTTACAGAAGTGAGTTAGCTACATTAGCTACATTAGGTTCTTGTTTAATAAACAAGAAATGCATCACTTCCATTTTTTAACATAATAAAATGCAAAATTAAAAAAAATCTGAATAAATGCAAGTTAAGCTATAAAACTGCTTAAACAGAGAAAGATATGTTGTATCCCACTGGTTAGCAAAAAGCAGCACCAAATCCAAGGCTGTATTTAGTGGCAAACAACATATTAATGTTCACCAACTAATGAGAATCAACCTTTATTTAGGAAAATATCTAAAAAGTACATTGCACAACAATTAACACTGATTATTTAAATCATGATTAAAACTGGTGATTTAAATCAATCCATGCAGGGCTACGCCCAACTCACATTCAGGGGCCAACCACCTTGTGACACATTTATAATTTATTCCAGTCTGAAAAACACAATAAGCTCTAGCAAGGTAAAGCACCTTTACAAAAGTATAATTACATCCACAACAGAGCTCACACCAGTATAACTATCAGTTAAAAAAAAACAATCTAGTTTTTCTAATGTAAACCAGGTCTTAGTCTCATCCACTCGGTTTTCTCTTCTACTGTTTCCTTTAAAAAAAAAGAGTAACATAATTTGGGCAGAGACACAGTCCTGCCATCCGCACACAGCATGAACAGTAACAGCAGAAACATTTTGCTGCATGCTCAGGGCTCATTCTGTGGCTTTCATTGTCTGCATTCAAAGTGTGCCATGCACTGGAAAAAAAGCGCGACTGGAATTTTCATGTGATGAAGTGGGTTTTACCCATGAAAACTTATGCCCTAAACAATCTGTTAGTCTCTAAAGGTATGTCTACACTTGCACCTTAGTTCAAGCTAGGAATGCAAATGTAGGCGACCGAAATTGCTAATGAAGCGGGGATTTAAATATCCTGCGCTTCATTAGCATGATCTCACCAGCGCGTTACTCCACTCAACAGCTGATCCAAACCAGGAAGTGCGCTCCGGGATCTTTAGTTCGAATCAAACCCCTTGGTTCAAACTAACGTCACTCCTCCTTTTTTGAGGAATGCTTTTCTGGAATGGATGGCAGCATTTGGCTTATTATTATAGGTAGTGTCTGAACTTTGCTGTTAATTAGGACTGACCATTATTGGTTAAGCAGCAGACATGAACCACAGATCCGTACTAGCTTTCTAGCCAGTTTTAAGATGGAAATCGCTGAGCTCTAGCCTCCTGCTTGTGCAAATATCAGATAGAAGCACTGTTCAGCATTTCTCCCCATACCTCTCCTGGGTAGACTTTGCTGTCCACGGTGTGCTCTGAGCCCCATTCATTTATGGCTCCCCAGTGGAAGTGGAACTGCTTTAGCCTGTAATGGTTTTCCATGGGTCCTCCCATAATAACTAAAAAAAAAAAAAAAGGAAATATAGCTGATAATTGATTTCAAACTGCCTCAGTGACATGTGAAAATAATATTCCTTTTTTCCTCACCATGCACTGTATTTACCCAGAAAAGCTAAGATGCAGCAACTGCTTTTTACCATGATGTTTTCCCCTTGGCTAATTTTCACTAAAGCATCTAAACAAAATCTCATGGGGGCAAGTGGGTGACTTTAATTAGCCCAAAGATGAACTCAAGCTAAAGTTAATTTATGACCTCCCATTTTATGAAGTAAACAAAGACAGTTTCCTCACCCAACTCACTGCAAGGGAAACAAGCTTTAAAAGTTCAAACAGGATTTGTCTGGCAGAGCCATGGTGGCTGTATATAACCCCTTCTCTGAGCAGGTACACCAGAAGTGGAACGCTGGCTTGTCATAGAACATTTACATCATCAAGGTTCAAAGACAAAAACAGTCGCTCCATCTCTCATGATCAATGAAACCTAGAACTGGAATTTCTAAGGTGACATTACAAGGCATGAATATCCTCCAAGTTCTTATTATAATGGTACCGATGCACTTAGTACATTTTGGTAAGCATACAACTTTAAACCCTTCAAAAATGTTACAGATGTTTAGAAAGTGCAAGTATGCAAGAACTGTGACTGGCACATAAGTTTTAGAGCACCATACCGATATTAAACTATTTCCAAAAATGCCTGTAAATATGCTAATATTTTGTGTGTTGAAAAGTATTTGGGTGCTCACAAGAATATTCTCTAAACACTCTCTGCAGTTGTGCAAAAATCTAAAGGTGGTACAAGTCTGCCTGTATTACGTACAAGTGATGTTTTGGATTGACCTAGGTCACACCTGAATACAGGCAGTACCCGGGTTACATACAAGATAGGGACTGTAGGTTTGTTCTTAAGTTGAATCTGTATGTAAGCAGGAACTGGCATCAGCCGCTGCTGAAACTGATCAGTTTCAACCGCGGCTGAATCTGGATGCCAGTTCTGACTTACATACAGATTCAACTTAAGAACAAACCTACAGTCCCTATCTTGTATGTAACCCGGGTACTGCCTGTATTCCGGGCATTAGTTCAGTCCTGAATGTATTTTAAGCATAAATGTGAGTTTAAGCACATTAGTAGTCCTATTGGCTGCAAGTTAGTGTGTTCCATACTGGCTACCTTAATTTGAACATAGGCATGTAACTTGAGGGCAAACAAATAAAATTTTTATTTTGGTTAACATTTTCAAGGATTTTTACTTTTTTTTTTCATTTTACTCATGTCCAGTCATTAGATTGTTCTCTGGTATTTACTTTATGATGAAATCCTGGGTTCATTAAGTCAGTGGAAAAACTTCTGGTGATGTTAGTGGATATATCTACCTTACAATTGAACATCCAGCTCTCAATATGGGTAAACAGAAAAGTATTAGCTCCTCCCAAGCTAGTGTGGTAAAAATAGCAATGTTGATGTTGTGTAACAGGTGCACATTTACAATAGGATTATCTGGCTATATCGACTCCTTCCTCAGACCCTATGCTACCAGCACTTCTAGCTACCTCCATGACACCACTGACTTCCTGAGGAAACTTTGAAACATCAATAATCTACCATCCTGGCCACTATGGACATAGAGGCTTTGCTGGACCCCCCCAGCAGACCAGGGAGACCGGGAGAAGCTTTTCTCGCCCCCGAGGACACGGGTGGCGATCCGCCGCCCGTGAGCTCCGGGGCGAGAAAAGCCCCGTTCGTAAGTGCGGATCCGACATAAGTCGGATCCGCGTAAGTCGGGGACTGCCTGTATAATTCTTCCCAGCCACATACCTATTACATTATAGAAATAGCCACACAATTTATTTTAAGTAGACATTAGACTTTTTATAACTGGACTCACTAAAACTTAAATTATGTAATTGGTTTTGAATTAACACCTGATTTTTACCCTTTTTCCAAGTGAGAATGATCCCCTGGGTCACTCCAAATTAAAACGCAGAATCCTCCTGATTCTAAACCCCTTTTTGCATGTCCTTAGATCATAGCATCTGCCAAATTACTAGTAACAATTATATCAAAAGGACTATTAACTAACATTATTATGTGCTTTACAAACTGATTAACTGATGTTAAATACCTAGCACCTAATTATTGTTCTATTTCAAGCCATAGTATAGAGTTAAATGTCAAGTTGTTCAGCTTGGTGGTATACTGCTCCTTTAACTAATATCAAGCGATAGGGATTCATAAATAATCCTAACTTCACTTTTGGAAGGAAGAGAACTGATTCTTTCCAAAACAGGAGAAAACAAAGGTAGAGGGATTAAAGCCCAAATTTTCAGAAGTGATCAATGATTCTGGATGAACAATTTTTAACACCTTGGGCCTGCTTTTCAGAAGTACCACAATCCACATCATCCACCCACCTCAATTGGGAGTCATAAAAGTTCAGCATTTTTGAGAACTTTAACAATTTCCCTAAAACAAAGCATCTGAGCATCAGAGCTTAGATTAGAATCAGCCATTCCTGGCTTTTATTTCTATCTTTCCTAGCAGAAAAGCTGCGCATGTGCCATGCGCCTAGGGGCGGAGCCGCGCATGCGTCGTGTCCCCGCTGCCTGGGGCACAGAAATGGCTCGAGCCAGCCCTGCTCACCATTATGCAATACTGGGATTTGGGTGGGTGCTTGGAATAAGGACTACGGTGTTAATCCTCCAGCATGGACGCCAATGGGAATTTTGTCACTGAATTCAACTGTAGCAGGGTCAGACTCTATGTAATACAAGGATGTTATTATTAACAGAGATAGGAATTTGTTCATCTCCTGGCTAAAGGAAAGATACTTGAAAACAGAAGATAGAGTCAATCCTTTTTAGAAGAATTTCAAACCCGCCTCACACTTTCACTCTCACTGTGAAATTCAAATTATTTGTAAAAGGCGCAGTAAACCACCAATCTGTACAACGTGACATTTAACTCATAACACACCACAGTGAGTTCTCTCAAGCTATTTCTTTGTATCAATGAAAAACTGAGCATTCGCCTTTAAACACATTACAACTTTCTTCGTTTTTAGAGAATTTCAGAAAAGAGAGCAAAACAAAAGTATAAAGAGAGCACTGAGGTAGGGAGGGAATTAAGACCACACTCCTAAAATGATCTCCCACCTGATCCTATTTGTATAGGTGTATCAGTGAGTACTTAAGGCTGGCTTCACTCATCTACACTGGTTTACTTATGTGAATAAAGTTACTCACAAGCATGGTTGCTTGCACATTCAGACCTTTATAATGGATATAACAGAAAAGACAATAAACAGGAGTTTACAGTCCCTTTACAGTCAGACACTTCTTGGTTTTTCATGCCCTATCACAACACTGATTGGTTTTACACCACCACACTTTTAAAGGGACTCCCTCTTAAAAAAAAAAAAAGCATCAGCAGCTTGTCTGTAATATTTTTTAAACCCAGAGAGACAAGGCAAGTGAGATTTTTTTACTATCTTTTACTAGACAAGTTTCTGCTGGTGAAAGAGAAAAGCTTTTAAGCATACACAGAGCTGTTTTTAAACTTTGTAAGGTTTCAAGTCCATTTCCATCCAGCAGATGGCAGTGGTGGATATAACTAACCAGTAAGTTACAAACAACTTTTAAAAAAATAAGTGGTCCCGTGGCACCTTAGACACTAACAAAAATATATGTATAATATCATGCTCTTTCATGGGCAACAGATACTTCTTCAGATTAGATGAACTGAAGAAGTGGGGTTTGCCCACAAAAGCTCATGATACTATACATATATTTTTGAAGTGCCACAGGTCCACTTGTTTTTAAGGTTACAGACTAACACGGCTACTCCTCTGAGACTTTCAGTATGTTACATGGCTTCTACACACCCTTCCCCCCCCTTTATTCTCTTCATTCTCCTGTTTGCTTGTCTATAGTACCTAATGGCAAGTCTAGTCTCCTCTTTTGCAAGTCATGTTTTTGTCTCAGCTCGTGAATTCAGCATTTCGTTTTACAAATATGCTCTTCTTTTTGCATCACTTTGTACTTTTCTTCAACATTTTTAATCTTACTTTGCAACACCGCTGCACTCTTATTCATGTTGCTTTCCCCCCCTCTCTTTCTCTATTGCGTTGAATGACAGAAGCTCGGAGGAAGAGAAGGCAGAAAAGAGAAACCAAAAATAGAGGTGGAAAG